ATATAGCAACTCATGCGTTAGTATTTATGTTGGCCGGAATAGCAAGTAGATGGAAACAGGTCGTAGCTTATTATCTTACCGGTGCTACAGTAGATGGAAGCAAATTTAATCCAATTATTTGTGAAATCATTAGAAAAGCTGAAGATATCGGATTACGAGTTCATGGCGTTACAAGTGACATGGGAGCTGCGAATATGGGGATGTGGAAATCCTTCGGAATAAAGGCTTCAAAATATAGTAAAACGACAAATTTTTCTACACATCCCAATGATAAGACGCGAAATCTTTATTTTTTTCATGACTGTGTACATGCATTTAAAAATTTAAATCAAGGTCTTTTAAATAATCAAATTATTATAATTCCAGAAGAAATAGTAAATATGTATAACTTACCAAGTAACATAGTTAAAGCATCCGATATAAAAGATTTATGTACAGCACAAGAAATGTTAAATTTTGGGTTAAGTTTGACTCCAAAATTAAATATTAAATTTTTAGATACAAAAAACCATTTTCAAAAAATGAAAGTCAGTAGTTCCACAAATGTACTAAACCATACTGTTGCAACATCATTACATTTTGTAGGCAAGGATACAGGCAAATATAATTTCATAACTACAGCATGGTTTGTTAGTTTCATCACAAAATGGTACAAATTAGTGACTTCAAGAACGCCGCAATTAGCTTTAGGAAAACGTGACATTCTAAAATTTGAAACAGCGATTGATTTTCTTGAACAAGTAATTAAAGTTATATCAGAAATAAAAGTTGGCAAATCGGGAATATGGAAACCGTTTCAAACAGGAATTATAATTTCAACTCAATCAGTTATTCATCTTAGTAAATATTTATTAGATAAAGAAGGTTTCAATTTTGTTTTGAGTGGAAGATTTTCACAAGATTGTTTAGAAAATTTATTTTCTATTGTACGCAGTAAACACGTAATACCAAACGCCGTTCAATTTAAAAACGATTTAAAGTTGATTACAGTTATACAATACATGAAACATGTAAAAACAGGTAGTTACGAACAAGATGATAGGGAATTTTTTTCAGAGTTTTTAGATACAATGTCAAAACAAAATAAAAATTCTCAAAGAAATAAAGCTGATGCCAAAGATTTAAACAATAACCAAATAACACTAACAAGTGCAATTGAAATTTGTGATAATGAAAATGTTATTTTTAACAACATGACATTGAATTGTCTTTATCACTTAGGAGGACATATAATTAATAAAATTATGAAAAAGTGCAATATATGTGAGAATTGTATTTGTGCAATAGGTAGTAGAAATCCTACTGCATTTCCATATGCAGAAATAACACGACTGCGATGTTTTAAAGAAAATACTCTTTTTTTTGTTAATGAAGTTACTTTTAATTTTATTTTAGATATGGAAAAAATTTTTCGGTTTTATTATGAAAATGTACGAAATGTTAAGTCATTTGATGTAAAAGAATTTTATGTTATCCGTTGTCAGGAATTACAGTTTAATATTCCTGATTGTCATTATTTAAAACAAAAAATTATTAATAAATTTATTACTATAAGACTGAAACTTATGTCTGTGATACCTGTAATAAAACAAAATAATACTTTTGCTAGTAAGAGTGTCGCAATGCATAATAATATAAAATAAAAATAAATATCTTTTTAATTCTTATTTTATTAATTTTCCTTTCATTTATTTTATGTTAAACGAATTTTCTAAAAATTTATACTTATTTCAGATTCATATGTAGAAGTTAATGTGGCTGCGTTCAGATATTCATTACCAGTACTAAAAATCCATACTTTACGTCACGTTCATTATAGATTTTCACTGGCAGTGAATATCGGGATACAGCCTATATGAAGAGGCTTGCAATTGAAAAATATCACAGAAATGAATTTGAAAAGCGCGCCACAGTTTCCCTGTTAATGTCGGACGTTGTCCATACTCTCACTAGAGGTACTCTATAAAAATGTATATCTTTCTCTCTCGCAGGAATTTGACGAAAAATGGCGGATACTACGCCAGACTCTGATTGGAACGTCTCTATCCACTTCCCTCTACATTGGAAAGAGAAAGATAGACTCTGAACTGGTGCAGCAAGTTCAGCTAGAGAGAACAGACCAGCGATAATATAAACTTGTGATGTTGCATTAGTGTGTCACACTGGGCGTATATGTTTTTGTATACGTATAAATACACCGTTGCACTTTGTACCTTTTTTTCTTTCGCGTAATATTCATACGATAATAGATATTCAGCTTAACGCTTTACCTTGCCTGATAAACGCTTGTCATGGCAATAAATATTATCAAGAATAGATTGTCGGGATCAATTGGAAAACGTGAGTTGCATAGATATCTAGTCCCTTTTTTTCAAATCTCTTCAGTATGCTGTTTAAAAGTATTCTCATGATTTTTTGTACATCTTCAGTCAATTATGTAATTTTTCTCCCTCACATTTCTTGGTTTAAACAGTCTCAGTCACTCGAAAATCTTGGGGCAGAATAGCTGTCTTGTACTCTTGAGACAATGTCTTATGTTTAAAATCTTTGTCTTAAAGTAACGTACAACAACTGTCTTATGACTTAAGAATACAAGGCCCAGGCTTAGTTATAGAGATCCATTGCAGTTGTCATGCGATAATGTCTTTGTTATTGATTCACCTTGCAGATTTACAAGCTGCCACCGCGCTGAGATACTCAACAGAGATGTCGACGTACAAAACATTAGCGGTATCCACTCCTAAACCGTTTGTTTACATGGTCAAGTTGAACAGACCGGAGAAACTGAATGCAATAAATCCGACTATGTGGAGGTAGGTGGTCTCTCAATTGTCGGCCCTGTTTTGCATCGCAAAGCGCTTACATACTCGTGGATAATTTCTATTTAGAGAATTCAAGGAATGTTTCGATGGATTATCGACGAATCCAGATTGTAGGGTAGTCATCCTGTCGGGCGCTGGCAGAGTGTTTTGCGCGGGTAAATTGTGAAAGAAATATAATGATGTCTTATATGTATATCCATCTGGGTAAAGTTGCCGAAAGCAACTTCACTTTCTAATCTGACAATCTGATGGCAGGAATTGATCTACAGGGGATGTTGGAATTAGGTCAGAGCGTAGCGGAACACGAGGATATCGCGCGCAAATGCAAAGTACTAGAGCACAAAATTAAGGATTATCAAGATTCGTTTACCGCTTTAGAAAAGGTATTCGCAAGGTACAATTAGCGAAGATATATTAAGTACGATTTGCACCTTCTGTAGCTCTCACCGAGAGATCGTGCCATTGTTTCTTTAACTCAGGACCTGTCTCACCAACGCTTAATTTTAACTTATGGTTTGCCCGTTTCTAAGAGTTGGAAAGAGACAAAGATTGAATTAAGCTTAACTTTTCATCTAGTTTAGTTCATGCTTCGTCTCTTTCGAAAGGGACTAAGGACTAAACAAGTTAAAGTTGAGCTGGACGTTAGTGAGATTCTACTCAAACAATTATTAAAATAACGGCGCAATGTTATTTTGACAGTGCTCGAAACCTGTGATAGCCGCTGTGCACGGTGCATGCATTGGCGCAGGCGTGGACATGATATCCGCGGCTGATATACGCTACGCTTCTTCTAATGCGTATTTCCAAATAAAGGAGGTCGATATAGGCATGGCGGCCGACGTAGGCACGCTTCAGAGATTTCCAAAAGTTGTGGGATCCGACAGCTTGGCGAGAGAGCTTGTCTACACGGCACGAAAGTATCCGGCTACCGAAGCACTGGAAAGTGGATTTATAAGCCGCATGTTGGACAATGAAGAGAGGTGAAGTAACAGATATAAGCTTGTGGCGATTGTTCGAGCAGAGTGATATGAATTAATATGACATTCGTGTCTTCTCAGCTTGTTAAACAAATCAATAGAAGTTGCTGAAGATATCGCAAGTAAGAGTCCAGTTGGGGTGCAAGGTTCAAAAATGAGCTTGGTGTACTCCAGAGACCATTCCGTCCAGGAAGGATTAGATCATATTGTAAGTGCTTCCTCCTGTTTATTCCACCTGAAATTATATAATAAAAATATATTATTAGTTATAAGTGTACACATGAAATAATTGCTCATACTTGGAGGATTGTTGTGTGCGACAATACATTTTTGGAATTTGTTTCGATAGGTGATGCAGAATAAGGCAATGCTTCAGAGTGAAGATTTTTTGAACGCAACTATGGCGCAAGCTGCTAGAGGTGATCCTCCAATATTCTCCAAGTTATAAATTGTTTAATTCTTTTGATATTCCTAATATTCTTGCTATTCCCAACATCATACAGGTGTTACTTATAGGCATTATGTATATCAATATTATATTTTTATCAATGTTAGATACAAATATGGATAAAATGTATTTTTTGGAAATGTGTTTATATGATAAAATAAATTTATAACTTTTCTGTAATCACAGATTTTAACATTTCTTATATTGATATCGCATTCCTTCCATATAAATTATTGTCACTTTTTAATGACTATTTTTATTATATATATTTTTTTGGGTCAGGTAATGTCTGCCTTAAAGATCATGCTTTCCCATCTGCGCCTTTTACGCATTTCTGCTAATTGCGCAGCTTCCATTTCATCAACAATATTATATACGTTAATATCTTCGGGAATTTTTACCTGTAATTTTTATATCGTCTTGGAATAAACATCTCAAACGATAGATTTAATAACGCGACAGTTCTTTCAGATAAAATGTATACTCCTGTTGGAAAAAAAATCTATTTTTACGCACAATTAGCAAATTGATGTAATGCTCGTAATTGATTTTTCCAGTTTCGGGGTCGCAGGCTACGGCCATCATATCGGCCACTTCTTCCTTTGTAAACGGTTCCCCAATTTCCATAATTGATTTCTCTAAATCCTCTTTCATGATATATCCGCGATTCTCAGGATCTAATAATTGGAACGCTTTCAACAATTCTTCTGGTTCTGCTGGTTTGAACCTACATATCGAAACAAGTTGTAAACAAGATAGTTACTATGTTATATTAATTATCCATTTTCCGATGCATCTACTTATTCTGGTAACGAAAAGGATTTTAGTTGAACGTACTTGCGTTCGTTTATCGCTTTGCTCATGTATTCTACGAATCTGTTTAGTGGCACACAATTATTTTCAACGTCTTCTACCTCTACTTGTATTTCTTGTAACTCAGCTTCCGTGATGACACATCCTGTTAAGTAATGTAGAAGAAATTGTTTTACAAAAGAAACGTATGTAAATATTAGAATTATTATGCAAACATTACCTAACGCTCTAATTATAGTTCCCAAATCTCTAACATCTACCTCTCCACTCCTTGCATTATCAAACACATCGAACGCTTCGTAAAGTCTTCTTTCTAACAACGACGGTTCAATAGGCACTGAGTGTATATTAAAATCGAATGTTAAATATTGATTGTTAAATAGAGGCAGAAATTAATACTAAGATACTTACTGATACCTCAGAAAATCTGTAACTTTGAATTCTTTACAATTCTTTTAAAGAAATATGAGAAGAAGAAAAAGAGAACGTGTTTCAAGCGACTTGACTGATATGGCTAGCTTTCAAGAATTGTTTGATCAATAAGTAGCATGAAACTGCGTAATCTCAGAGAAGTTTTAGTTTATAGTAAAACTTTCTCATAATTATCTTTACGTGAATCATACATTTATTTAAAAAATTGATAAATTTTATTTTACATGTGTACATATTAATTACAAAATCTTTGACTAGTACGTACATGCTTGAGTTTCTCTTCGTAAAGTTAACCGTCTTCCGATGATACTCTTTCTAGCCAATGACGAGGCCGATATAAATGATTGATGCATTTAGAAAGATATGTCTTCGCAGTGACACAAACAATATTTCTATTAATTAGTTTGCCTGTGCATAAATAAATTCATCAGCCTAAAAGTTACCATTGTAAAAAATTACCATAAAATGCTATTTTTTATATATAAAATGTAATAAAATATAATAAATTATACCTCTCCGTTATTACTTGATAATAAAGTGCAATAAATTTAGGTTCGACCAACATGATGTATGAATTAAATTAAACAATTGCAAGATAATTGTGCAATTTTGTGATAATTTCAGGATGTACATACTGTTGCATGCATGTAACATTTAATAATGTTACAGGTAAAGTTTATATTACGCTATATTCAATACAAAAATACTATACATGTAAATATAATACAACAATTGCAATTAAAAGTGGGCAGTTTGTCGATCGATCTCGATAATATCTTCAATAATCTCTTGAACGCGCGTTCCAATTTTCTTGGCCAAATCTGCTTTCTCATTGTTGGGTAAGAAGAGGTAACGCCAAACCAAATCACCATCAATGATGCCTCTTGCTGGATTTCCTTGATTTCGTATGTAACTCTTGTACGTGCTACATGAAAGAAAAGATTTTATATACGTTAATAATATTCTCGGCAATTTCTAGTAAGTAGCAAATATAATATCTGTATAATTATAATTGAAACTTGCCGATAAGCTTTCGGATTTAAGCCGGCGATGTGACAGATATGCGTGACCAGCACGTTTTGTAACATAAGCAATCTTCTATATGTTTTTTCTGGTACTGGTAGAATGTAACCAAGACTGCCGTCCAACGATGCTAAAACGTAAGAAGAGATACATTTGCATGCAAAAAGCACTTGAGCATTTCAACAATATTCCGTTGAAAAGTTATCGCTATTTCTAAGATACGCATTTCAACTTACCGTACATAGTAACGTGTCTTTTATCAGCACCGGAAAACTGCTTCTTGTCATTTGCAGGATCGGTGACTCTACATTTAATACGAAAGAAAGTATTTACTTTCTGCCCTAGATGAAAATCCGCCTTTCTAATTAGCTTTTGACCTCCCAGACTTTCCCTGGACTCCGGTTGATACATAAATAAAGCTAAATTGCTCTCCTCATCGGCAACAACAAAACCCAAATTTGCGTTATCAATCAAATACTCTATCGTATATACTTCCGCAGGTCTAAAGTCCTATAACAAAAATAGATTGTATACTTTGAATGCATTCACAAATATGTAATTGATATACGTCTAAAGTTATTACAACACACTCACCCTGCTGACAAGAGAGAGCGTCCTATATTCTTCCTGAAACCGTAGTAAACTAATGGATTTGTAGACGTCGGCTATCAGAATAAGACTTTTAATACTTAACATTTGATGGATGTAGATTTGGGTATCAATAAAAGCGACACCAACGAGATCGTTATCTTTCAATTGCCAAATATATATCTGCAACGAAACAATTTTTAACGCCACTTGCAATGGATGCGATTCTTGTGGAAGTGAATCGAGAGGGAATACCTTTTGTCCCACAGCTGAGACTAAGAATCCTGATACTTGTGTTATAGCAGTTATAGGTCCCTTTTGTTCCTTCGCATAAATCTGTTTGAATCTATTTTTAGTTAATGGCTGGCCAGGCTCAGGTACTACTTCAATTATGTCAAATATAAGTATCTGAAAATTTCAAACATAAAATCATTAATTGATCAAACCAATCATATTTTCTATATATAAATATAGTACTCACTCGTCCTCTGCTTGTGATATCTTCGCCGTAATTATAATTTGTTCCTAACACTATGTAACCTTTCAAACCAGATCTTGTACCTTCATATGCCAGAGATACATTCTTTAAACAAGTGACATGTTCCCATTGGTCCAGCTCAATTTTTGTATTGGGAATAGTTTCCCACGAAACTGGAGAAAATAGTACTATGGAAAATTGTTCTTGAGACGGATAAAGAAATCTTTCCGGACGCTCCTCTTCCGTAAATTCCTAATCGATAAAAAAAAACGTCAATATTCAAATTTTTAGTGTCGTCTCTAAATTTAATACCGTAAATACTTGATACACATTAATAGATATTAATAAATATTCTGGAAAATTAAAAGATAAAATTTTTGTCAATACCTTGTCTTCGCCGTTAAATCTGTAGTAGCTTTTCAGAGGTTCCGATGTGCTCGTTATAACGCAGTAGGTTTTGCTTTCGAGATGATACGTGACAAAATGCGGGGTACATCGCAAAGGGACCTTCCTAACTGGCCACGGAGCGTCGTAAGACAAGTGAGTTGGCAAAACGCATATCCGTAGCTCCTCCTGGAAAATGAGATCCGTGTCATATTTTATCTCGTTAAGGTTCCTGACATATGTATATCAAAAACAATATTATACCTTTCTATTAAAGTACAGGAAACCTTGGGGGCAGTTAATATTATTAAAAGCAGCGAAAGATGTGACGGAGCCATCGATGCCCATTGGATGCGTGCGTAATTCTCCGCGTCCGGTCAAAAATATCCAATGCGGATAATCGCTGCAGATAAATACTCCATTGTACCCGGCGATGTTACTAAAGTAACGCATCACACAGATACGAGTGTCGCTTGTGTTTCTTGGAATATCTTCTTCCTTGGGTCTCGGACTGCGGAGGAAATTCAGTTAAAGATTGCAATAATCTAAGTAAAAGAGTACTTTTTTTCTCACAACCTTCATTTTAATGGAAATATAATTATTATTCTTATTAGAGAAGATAGTATCATATATGTTAGAATTACTCGAACCTTAAACGCCCCGGGATTATTCCATGGTCCAATTTCTTAAACCTCAGTTTCAGATATCCCTTTGGATACCTGTAAGCTTGATAGATTTGTAACTCCGCATCGAGGCGCACTAAGAGCATCGGCCGGTTTCCATGATGTCCTAGAGCGACTATCAGAATTTCACGGACCTATCAAAATAGATATTTGCTAAGAGCACAAGATTTTGAAAATTTCCACATATAAAGAGACACATTCGTAGATAAATTACCTGCATATCAGGGTGAGGAATCTCATTGAGTGGCGTTGATTGCAAAGTCGTGGACTCCATACTATCGTGCAATACATGCTGGCCGTAGCCAAAGTTGCGAATAAGGTAAGACAATCGTAAATCAGGCAAGGAGTAAATTTCCAGCGTTCCACTGTCTCTATATACAAGTAGCCAGTACGTGGACTTAATTTCTTGCAAATGCCTTTGCCACCTATTATAAAAATGCGTATCACGAAAATGTATACTGATCCTTATCCTTTTTACATCAGAGAAATAACATGCTTTTAAAAACTTAAAGTACTTGGCCAAATAATTTTCGTCTTTTAAAATTCTAATTTAATAAAAATAATGTTTAATATAGCAATGAAGTTTGTTTAATGTAGTAATAAAGTTCGACCAAACACTTTAGAAGTAACTAAACAGAAATTTTACCAAGGTAATTTTTTAGTAGTTCCATCCGCCGCTTTTGAATATGATGGCGCGGGCATTTGGAATGCTGGAGCATCACCGTACAACAGATCATCTTCATTGTCGATATTGCTAAGTACGGACGGCTCCTCTACATTGTACTCTTCTTCAGTCTGCTCGTCTTCCGCATTCTCAGGCAATTGCGTTGTAAAAATCCCGCTTACGTCTCTGTAAGCGCACAAGGCCTCTATTTGAGGCCGCTAAACACACGCATACACCAATGATATAGATTTTAAGAACAATTCGTGTATTATTTATGTAATATTAATCATAAAACTAAACTTACAAACAGTAGATTGGCAGCTTGAGCATGCAATCTTGCTGTGCCTCTTACTTCTCTTAGGGTCAATAACATAACTTGTCCATCTTCCGAGAGCAACGCTACGTACGGATCGGCACAACTTGCATGCACAATTGGACAGCCAAGATCTATAGGCATATGTTGGATCTGTAATTAATAAAACATATAATGAAAGTTTTTGTATTGTAGAAAAATGCTAATGTATTTATTTGGCAATAAAATTAATTAAGAAATCAACAATGTATATAAATTAAAGCAACTATAAAAATATCGTTTATTTTTTCCCACGTTTGCAAAATTTGCTCCCAAGTTTGCAAATATTTAATAAAAAAATATATAAAATATTCAAATTTGCGATAAATCATATTTCATAAACTGAGAATTGTCAATTAATAAAGATAGCGAGTATTCTAATATCAAATTATAACAATAAAGGCTTTATATGAAATTAATTTTTTTCATAAAAAATATTATTAATAAAATCAATCAAATGAATATTTAGGGATTAATATACATACTTGTTCAATGCCTTGCAAAAGACGCACTCCCATTTGAGTAACCTGCACGATGTATCGGTTAGCGCCGAGATTGCCGGCAAATACTGTACTTCCCTGTGTATTAAATCCACTCTGATCTACCTCATTAATCTCTTGACCGGTTTGCAGAATCTGTGAATAAGTTGTATTACAAATCAAGTCTTAATTTTCATCTATCTATACATAAATATAGTACTATTATACCATAGTTGAATCTTCTTGACTCAATATCAAGAAAGCGTGAGATCCCTCTGCTTCCGTCTTGATTTCATCGTTATTTAATGTGCCAATGACAGTCCACATGTCTTCACAGCCAGGCAATTCGAATGTTGTCACAACCTAATTTTATCAAAGATTTGTAAGAATGCAATTATACTTTCAGTAAACGTGGCATCTTATAATTCGCAAGTTTAATTG